ATACCTAATACCTTGTAAATGCTATGTAAAATAGTTGTTATTCTGTTTTGTTTAGGGAATAATGACAGGAAAGATCTCTACATGTTTGATGCAATCTTTTCCCATATATGTATGATCTATAGTTGGTTGAACTCACAGATGTGGAACATGAGGATACAGAGGTCCCAACTGTGCATTTCTGACCTTCATCCAGACTCTAACCCAGTGGTTCTCAGATGAGCACGCATCAGAGTCATCCAGAGGGCTTTATAAACACCCTGCCAGACCGTAATCCCAAAGCTTCTGATTCGGGAGGGCGGGGGTAGTACCCAAGAACTTGCCTTGCTCTTCAGATGCTGCTGGGCATCACTATTCTAGATAGGTCTTGCCTGGTGGGCAAGGCCTCCTCACTACTTTGTGCAGGGATTGGCACGTAACACAGCCTAGGAAGAATCCTTCTGGGACCCACAGAGGTGGTGCAGAATGAAAAAGAGGTCCCTGTAGTAGGCCTTAGACCTATGGTGGTTTGTAAAGGAAGCTCAACGTACCGGGGGGCAAACTGAGGTTGCTGGCAATGCTGGCACTCATTTGTTGTAGTGGAATTATTGTCAGAGGCAGAGTGCCGGCTGGAGGGACTGTTGTCCTAGCAGTGTTTTAGACTTGTGCCAATGGGATGCCCATTTGTTGACCTGTTCCAGGGAGATGCTGGATTGTACATCCAGAGAATGTATTTACTCCATAAGGCTTCCCCTTGCCCATTGCCCTCGAGTTTTTTCAAGGCTAAACCTGCATTCCGCACTCACATTTGGAATTACTATGTAATTTTTACATAGTAACTTTTATTACTATGTAAGCCAACGTTGGAAAAACTCTCTCAGGGACCCATTTGGAAATGAAGTGGTTTTCTCAGATAGTGAGTTCACCATGCTTGGTACTCTGATGATTTGGAATCCAGAACCTTCCAGGAAAAACATTCTCTCTACAGCTTTCCTCATGACCATGGCCAACCCTGGGTCAGCTCAGAATCCAGCGCCAAGGGTCCATTACTGCTGCTATTTGTTAGGGATCAACATTAAATTAACACAAGAGCAAGGCCTAGCTCGTCCCAAAGCATTTGCATAGACTGACTATGGTGTCCAGGGAGCAGAGGCACCCACAGAATGCAGACCTGTATATTTGCTCATAGTCCTAACTCATGAAGCTTAGGCAAGCAGCAATGCTCTCCAGACAATTAAGTCAAGAAAGGAAACCTGCTTCACTAATGGCTGGAATTAAAGTGAAATGAATTCAGCTCAAATGAAAGGGATACTGACCCTTCTCCCTCTGGTCTTATTATCTTAATTAACAGTGCTTGGCAAGAGTATCGAGGCCTGCATTGATTGTGCTTTTCCTGTTCTCCCACCCCTCAAAGCCCTAGATACAAGTTAACCCAGCCTCAATAATCAAAACCCAACACTCAGCAGCCCTCCAATTTTCTTTCCAGTCCTCCTTCCTTTAAGAGAGTCACAGGATTTCTGAATTGAGGGGATCCTTTAGATTAGTGCTTCCAAAGCATGGTCTGAGAACCGCTTGTATCCAAGTAACTGGGATATGGCTGTAAAATGCAGTTTTCAGACCCCACTAAGCCTATGGAGCCTGAATATCTGTTGTCAGGCTTGGGTATCAGTACTGGGGCTTGGGGATTAATTTTATTTTCTAAATGGTGTAAGAGATATATAATATAAATACTTATCAATTTAATCATATTTGAGTGTGCAGTTCAGTTGCATCTATCTTCAGAACTTTTTCATGGTCCCACACTGAAACTGTGTCAATTAAACAATAACACTCCATCCTCCCCACCCCATTAACCTCTATGAGCTTGTCTACTCTAGAAACCTCATTAGGATGGGGCTGTAGCTCAGTGACACAGTGCTTGCTTAGCAGGCACAAGGGTTTGGTCTTCACATATGTGTGTGTGTGTGTGTGTGTGTGTGTTTATACGTGTATGTGTGTGTATGTACAGAAAGCCCACATAAGTGGAATCATATGCCATTTGTTCTTTTGAGTGTGAGTGATTACATTTAACACAAAGTCTTCAAAGTTCATCCATGTAGCATAGCATGTGTCAAAATTTAAGGCTGAATGACTATGAAGTTGAGGGTTATAATTTAAGACTGAGTCATTTTCTACTATATATACACCATATTTTATTTATTCACCTTTGATGGACCTTGAGGTTGTTTCCACCTTTAGGCTAGTATGAGTAATACTGCTATGAACATGGTGTATTACTACCTGCTTGGGTTTAGGCTTTCTATTCTTTTGGTTATACACCCAGAAATGGAATTGTTGAGTCATCTGGGAATGCTACGTATATATATATTTTTTGAGACAGGCTCTTGCTGTGTAGCCCAGGCTGACCTCAAACTCTCAATCCTCCTGCCTCAGCCTTCTGAGTGCTGGGATCACAGGTATGTACTACCATACCCAGGCTTGCTAGGCTTAATTTTTCAGCAGTAATGTTTGTAAACACCCGGGTAGCTCTGAGGTGCAGCAAAGTTGCAACTGGAAGACTAAGTGATCAGTCTTTCTGTAATTGGAATCACCTGGAGATATTTAACAACTTTGGATGCTCACCCCACACCCCAGACCAACTAAACCAGCCTTTCTCAGAGGGGACTCTGGTGGATCCCGAGGTAAGGCCAACTTCAAGAACCATTGGTTTACACCAGTGACTCTCAAATTTGAGTGTGTATAAAATTCACCTGCTTGCTAAGAATACAGATTCTTCAGAACACCCCATCCCTAAGTGTCTCATTTGAATAGGTCCAAGGAATCCTGGGCCTTACAGGTCTCATGTCTGCCCAGGTGACACTAATATGCTGCCTGGACTGAGGTCTGCTAATCAGTGAAACATGATAATGTCACCAGGTTCAGGTCACAGGGTGCAGAGGCAGAAATATCTTGTCTCATTAGATAAAGAATTGAAGGATGGACACAGAGGAGACTTAAGCAGGAGCAGGTTTATTAATGCAAAGCAAAGCAAAAGCAGAGAAAAAGTGCACTCCCCACATGGGATGGTGTGCAGCCTCATGAAGGAGTGCTGTGCTAGAGGTCCCAAGACCTGAAACTTTACTGGAGTCTGTGCACATGGGGGTGGTCAGTCCTGGAAAATTGGGCTAATGTGTCATTAACTTCCAAGACTAGGTTATATATCATTAATTCCTCCCATATGTTGGGTGGGGAAAGTTCTTGGCCTTGGATGGTCAGACCAAAGCTATCATTTTCCACAGGTTATAGGGGCGGCAGGTTAGCAAGACCCTGCTGTATGTCACAAGTCATTCCACTAATGTCAGAAGTCCAGGACGTGATTCCTTATCCACATGCAAGCCATTGTTCTCAGCCATCAGCTTTCCTCATTCCCTGCATTACTCCCATACCAAGAACACTGAGGCTGTGAGTGGAGACCTTGTCCGTCCAAGCTGCTGGCAGTAAAGCACCGCGTCTACCCTGGTCCACAGGGCTGATTCCCAAGCCAATCCTATAGGTTCTTCAAACTCTGTCAATGCGGGTGCAGAGAGCAGAACCATTTATACAACCTTAGCTCTTACTCTTAAACGGAACACTTATCCTTCAATTAGAATACAGTCCGAGGGTTGATGGAATGGCTCAAGTGGTAGAGCACCTGCCTAGCAAATGTGAGGCCCTGAGTTCAAACCCCAGTACCACCAAAAAAAATTAGAATACAGTCAGTTCTGCCACAATGCTTGTTTTGAAATGTGAATTTGTTCATGGTGTAATTGAAGTTAGACAGTAATGCTGATATATTAGGGAACATTATTGGTGTATTGGAGAACAGGCCTAGGGATGTAGCTCAATGGTAGAGAGCTTGCCTAGCATGCACAAAGTTCTGGGTTCCATACCCAGCACCAAAAAAAAAAAAGCCTGTTATTAGGGAATGTGTATTTCATATTTGCTTATGTGCAGTTTCTTACAAATAATGATATAAAACTGCACCACGCTGAGCAAAACCACCTATGAATATACAAAATACAACCCAGTATTTGTCTCTATCCTGTGTGTTTTGAGCCTCAGGCATCTACATCTGGTATTAAAAATTTTCCTCTGATACCAAATACTCCTCCTCTTTCCATCATGTCATAATGAATGATTCACAAACTGTAACCCTTCTGACACTACTTCCACAAGCAAACATCAGGTCTTTTTCAAAGTCAAGTGACACACCCATTGTAGTATTGGTATATTTCTTAACCATTTAACTTGTCTAAATGGTGCTGCCATTTTTATTCAGTTCCTATACTTCTTCATGTATCACTGATGAGGTTTTTGAGTGTTGGTACCTTAGCCTTTTTGCCCTCCTAAGGTTTTTATTGTGTGGTTTTTTTATAGTGCAGTGACTTTTTCTTTTTCTTTTCTTTTTTTTTTTTGAGGCAAGGTCTTGCTATGAATCCTAGACTGACTTTGAACTGGAGAGATTCTCCTGCCTTTGCCTCCCACGTGCTGGGATTACAGGTGACACCACCATGTCCTGCTATAGTGCAGTGACTTTTAAGAAGGAATCTGTGGTCTGGGAGTATAACTAGGTGGTAAAACACTTGTCTAGCATGCATAAGGCCCTGGGTTCAATCCCTAGCGCCAGAGAAAAAAATTGAAGCAGGAATGTATATGTCATTTAATAAAACTAACCACAGAACTGATTTTCTGTATTGCTTTTTATCCATCTTATAATGGTTTCGGAACACACTGCTCCCGGGGGAAGTTAGTCCCCATCTCCCTTTTGTCCCTCTGCTCTTGACAACCACTAGATGACGCACTCTTCTGATGGGGTCAGAAGCTATCCCTCCTGTATTTGTGCACAACCCCTCAACTGGAGAGAAGCAAGTGGCCAAGCTCCCAGGTTTCTTCTGAGCCCTGCCTCCACCCACTCTCACCCATCTTGCTCCATTCTGGCCTCAACCACTTACGGTTTTGAGGGTTAGGTCAGTTGGTTTTCACTCTTGGATTCCCTTTATGTCCATACTGGCTAATCTTCATCTGCTTCTCTTGTTGTATGGACTCCTTTCTTGACTCTCATCTTTCTGAGGTTTGACCGAGACTAAAACAACTTTATTGCTTGTGTTCATCTTTAGATTAGATTTGCCCTGTGTCGGTGCTCATTCACTATTTCTTCCACACATTTTAGCTGCTGGCTCCCATTCCAGGGCACATGTTCGGATGATCCTTCCTCTGACGAGCTCCAGACACCTCAGCTCACAGCTCACCTGGATCTTCTGCTCACCTGTCGTGCCATTTGACCCACAGAGATTTGCCTCAGAGGTAAAAAATGGAGTTATTTCATGCCTTTTTATTCTTCATAAGGAAGTAGGTCTGTATGGTATCTTTGTAATAGGACATAAGCCCAAATAATTTTCTTTAAAATCTTGTTCAGCTGCTTTCATCCATCTTTCTTACTTTAATTTTAGTTTCTCTGTTATAGACTTAAAAATTCAGTATCTTGGGATATATGTTGTTTGGTTCTGCCTTTTACTTGTCGTTACCACAAATTCAAGGTCAAGCTACCAAGTTCAGTAGATACACTTGGAGGCCAACATTGAATCATCCATAAAAAGGCAGAATTGAAACTCAGAAATTTAACTCTATTATTCTGAGCTGGCATTCTCATTCCTGTGTCTCTTCAGGGATTTCTCTGGTTGCGTGAGATGAAAAATCATTCTGCTGTTTGGATAAAATAGCTGCTACAAAATTGTCAGCAACTTGGGGGTTGTGGTACTTCTTTCCTGCAAACACTGGTAGAAACATCAGAACATGTTTATCTTACAGTCACTTAAAATCCTCATTTATGAAGTGAAAGTTTCTCTTCTCTTTTCTTCTAGAACAGAAGTCAGCAAACTGTGGTCTGTGTTTGGACTGCAAAGCCTAAAATATTTACTATCTGGCCCTGTACCTACATTTTCTAAAACATAAACTCTAGTGGTTATTTTTTTATGTAAACTAAAGGTTCACTATGACATATTGAAATAGTCAGGCTTCTGGAAATTGGCGAACTCTTGGACCCAGGTGCAAAATTTGGTTTGTGATGCAATGTGCAATTTTGGAAGGCAAGGACTCAAAGCTGTCAGCAGATTCTCAAAAGGACTCATGACTTCAAAACATGTGAGAAGTGCTACAGTATGTTGTCTTCTGCCAAGCAGTGTGTTTGAGTGCAGTACCCAGCATCCTCAAGTGTGGGCAACGAGGCTGACGTTTTTACATGTCTTGAAGGTCACAGTGGAATCCACTTCACTCTATAAGATGTGGAAAAGGTTACAAAAAACTCAATACGAATGTGACATTTCCATGACCATTTATTTCCCTCCTTGGGTCACAAGGCCTGGTTATCCCCATTTGTAGCTTCTCTGAAGCACATCTTCAGAATCTTCACCCTGGGTACCACTGAATAAGGACTCTTACTTCCTACCACATTCCTTTATCTGTGCCTTTCGGGACTCTGCCAGCCTCTAGAATCACAGTCCTATGATTGCACACCAGGATACACGGAGTGTAATTTAGGGCCTGTTGCAGTAACTGGCTCTGGAGGGACAGCATGTGCCTCTGGGGGGTTCTTCTGAACTGTAATGTCCTCATCTGCTCTGATTGGTTTCTATTTTCTTTCAATTATTCCTCCATTTATTTATTGAGACCACTTTGAATTTTTGGCCTGTTTTCCAAACTGTGGCCTCCCAACCTCTATGTGTCACCTGTAAATATAGGACCATTAATCCTAATGGCCCATTCTAAGCCCCAAGAAATTCATCAAGAAAGAAAGTGGCTACTTCATTTCCATTGCCCAATCTGATCACCCACAAAAGAGATAATCTCAAACTTGCATATGGAAATAAGGTTCATAGAATTCCTGGTTTTAGATAACAGAATGCCTGTAACGAACATGGAAAGAAATAACTGGAAGCTTTATACCCTGGGATACTGCCCTGTCAAACCCAAACCCCCTTCATATAACAAATATTTGAAAAGAAAATCCTTCAGTATGTTGAAATGAAATCCATAATTATACCTATCTACCTATACCCATAATTTAAAAATCAATATAATACCCTAACTGGGATATGCAAAAAAGAAATGAAAAGGAAAGTAACTTACAATGAATTGATATGTGTTTCCATATGGGAATACAACTACACTAGAAGACAAAATGAGTCAGTTGGGCACTCATACCTTATACTTTTTTAAACAACGTTTTTAAGTTATACAAGGCATTTTATTATGGCATTTCCATATATTGTACCCTGGTTTGGTTCATCCCCTCATTATTCTCCCTCTTCCCCCACTCCCCTTGTTAAAGACTTCAACAGGTTTCAATGTTCCATATTCATACATATATAAAAAGTACCCCAACCATATTCACCATCCTTATCCTTTTCATTTACCCTCCTCCTCCTCCTGGTATTACCCTCCCTTTAACATGACCTGTTTTATATTCCTGTCCTTCTTAGTGTCTGTTTATTGTGGGGTTTTGCCTTGGTATTTTACCTATAAAAATATTATACTTTAGTCAATCTCCCTCTATTACTCTTCCTAACCCTTCTCCCATACCCTGTATTGTTCAACAATTTTCAGCTCATTTTGCTGTCTTGTTCCTACACAGATGTGATGTGTTTCAATATTTTTCACTCCCTGTCATTCTTTTCTTCTTGTCCTCCTCCCTTAGTCTCCTCTAAAAGTACCACTTTTGGAGACATGTTCTGCATATGTATGTATGTATGTGTGTATATGATAATGCTTGTATTTGTATTTGTGTCCATCTTCCACATAGAAGAGAAAATATATGAACTTTAGCATCTGGGTTTTTCTTTTGGTAGTACTGGGAATTGAACTCAGGGTGTCATGCTTGTTAGGCAGGCACTCTACCATTTTTTGCTTTAGTTTATTTTTCAGATAGAGTCTCATGCTTTTGCCTGGGTTGGCCTCAGACTGCAATTCTCCTTCCTCTGCCTCAAGAGTAGCTGAGGTTACAGGTGTACTCCACCACATCCAGTCTCTTGAACACTTTTTTGTTGCTGCAGCATATGTTAAATAAACACTCAATCTGGACAGATAGTGAACTCCCCCACTGAATTCAAGCAAGTGAATATGGTTTTTGCTCATTGTGGTAAACTCACAAAGTCACACAAATGTCAGGTATGCAACAGGTGATTAGTACATTTTATTAAACTGATACAATCTGGCTCTGTGGATGTGGCATAAAAAAGTACCCAATGCCTGTGGAGTCAGCTCAGATCAGAGGAGATTGAGTAGAAACTTAGACAAATTAGGGTAGAAAAATCAGTGCATTTCTTGTCTGCTCATCAGCTGAGCCTTCTGTGAGCTAGGAAAGGCCTTCCCTTCCTAGCTTCACTGGTTGAAGTGAAGCAAAAATATGTCTCTTTCTGTGTTTTTCCTTCAACTTCCCTCAACAAATTTTGAATGAATGAAAAAACACAGAGTTATCATAAAGAATAGGTAAAGTTTTTGTCATTGTGATGCTGGGGATCAAACCCAGGTCCTTGTATATGCTAGGCAAGCACTCTAAATTCCTGGCCCAGGTGCAGTATTTTCAAAATACCTATACTACTACCTAGTGTGTAGAAAATGCAATATTAACTGTTTTTATAGACTTAATATATAGACACCAGGCAATATCTTCCAAAAGTCACATCCACGGAATCAGATGAACAAAGGGGTCTAAGGGAGCAGGCACATCATAGAGGAGACCCCAAGTTCTGAAGAGGCACATGCAATGTCTTGGGCTTAGATGCTGTGTTTTGATTCTCCTTCTCCTCCATAGGATCATGGCAGATTACCTTGACCTTCTCTTAGGAGTGGTGCTCGTGGCCAGTCCTGCATTTGGAATTTCTCCTTGCTCCTTTGATGGTCGGATAGCCTTGTTTCGTTTCTGCAACCTCACCCAGATTCCTCAGGTCCTCAACACCACAGAGAACCTCCTGCTAAGCTTCAACTATATCAGCACAGTCACCGCCTCATCATTTCCCTTCCTGGAGCAGCTCCAGCTGCTAGAGCTCGGGACCCAGTATACTCCCTTGATGATTGGCAAAGAGGCCTTCAGAAACCTGCCCAATCTTAGGATTTTGGACCTGGGCCAAAATCAGATCAATGTCTTACATCCAGATGCTTTTCAAGGACTATCCAATCTCTTTGAACTTAGACTGTTTTCCTGTGGTCTCTCCAATGCTATATTAAGAGGTGGTTATTTCAAAAATTTAAGTTCTTTAACTCGCTTGGACCTATCCTTTAATCAGATTCATAGCCTTTACCTTCATTCTTCGTTTCGGGAATTGAATTCCTTAAAATCCATAGATTTTGCTCTCAACAAAATATTCACCATATGTGAAGATGAGCTCAAGCCCCTCCAAGGGAAAATGTTCTCTCTTTTCAATCTCAAAGCTAATAATCTGTACAGCAGAGTCTCTGTGGACTGGGAGAAATGCAAGAACCCCTTCAGAAATATGCAGCTGGACACCCTTGATGTTTCTGGCAATGGCTGGACAGTGGCCATCACAGAAAACTTTAGCAATGCCATCTGGGGGAGCCAGATTTCCTCTTTGATTCTGGCCCACCACACCATGGGTTCTGACTTTGGATTCCGTAATATCAAAGATCCTGACCAGAACACATTTGCTGGTCTGAACAGAAGCTCGGTAATACAGCTGGATCTCTCACATGGGTTTATCTTCTCCTTGAACTCCGAAGTCTTTAAGATGCTTAAGGACTTAAAGATTCTGAATCTCTCCTACAACAAGATAAACACAATTGCAGATAGAGCATTTTATGGACTTGACAGCCTCCAGATTCTCAATATATCATATAACCTTTTGGGGGAACTTCATAATTCCAATTTCCATGGGCTACCTAGCATAGCCTACATTGACCTTCAAAAGAATCACATTGGGATAATTCAGAAAGAAACATTCATCTTCCTGAAAAAATTACAGACCTTGGATCTCCGGGACAATGCTATTACAACCATTAATTTTATTCCAAGCCTAGCTACTATCTTCCTGGGTGGCAATAAACTGGTGACTTTGTCTGACATCCACTTTACAGCCGACTTCATCCATTTATCAGAAAACAGGCTAGAAAGTCTGGCTTATCTCTACTCTCTCCTCCAGATACCTCATCTCCGAATTCTTATTTTAAATCAAAATCGCCTTTCCTTTTGTAACCCAAGCCTTACCCCTTCAGAAAATCTCAGTTTAGAACAACTGTTCCTTGGAGAAAATATGTTGCAACTTGCTTGGGAAACAGGATTCTGTTGGGATGTTTTTAAGGGGCTTTCCCATCTCCAAATTCTGTATCTGAATAATAACTACCTTAATTTCCTTCCACCTGGAGTATTTAACAACCTGAATGCATTAAGAGGACTCAGCCTCAACTCCAACAGGCTGACAGCTCTTTCTCCTGGCATTTTACCTCCTAATTTAGAGATCCTAGATATATCCAGAAACCAGCTCTTATCTCCTGATCCTAGTTCATTTGTATCACTTAGTGTCTTGGACGTAACTCACAACAAGTTCATCTGTGAGTGTGAACTTAGCACTTTTATCAGTTGGCTCAACCAAACCAATGTTACTATATTTGGCTCTCCTACAGACATATACTGCATGTACCCAGATTCATTCATAGGGGTTTCTCTCTACTCTGTTTCCACAGAGGACTGCAATGAAGAGAAAGTCTTAAAGTCCCTAAGGTTTTCTCTTTTCATCTTGTTCACTGTAACTTTGACTCTACTCCTCATGACCACCCTCATAGTCACAAAGTTCAGGGGAGTTTGCTTCACCTGTTATAATACAACCTGGAGACTGGTGTTCAAAGACCATGCTCAGGGATCAGAATCTGATACATACAAATATGATGCCTATTTTTGTTTCAGTAGTAAAGACTTTGAATGGGTACAGAATTCTTTCCTTAAACACCTGGACACTCAGTACAGTGACCAAAACAGACTCAACCTATGCTTTGAAGAAAGAGACTTTGTCCCAGGAGAAAACCACATAGCCAACATCCAGGCTGCTGTCTGGAGCAGCAGAAAGACTGTTTGTCTTGTAAGCAGACATTTCCTTAGGGATGGGTGGTGCCTGGAAGCTTTCAGTTATGCCCAGAGCAGGTGTTTATCTGACCTCAACAGTGTCCTCATCATGGTGGTGGTCGGATCCCTGTCCCAGTTCCAGCTGATGAAACATCAGAGTATCAGAGGATTCGTACAGAAGCACCAATACTTGAGGTGGCCTGAGGACCTCCAGGATATTGGCTGGTTTCTTGATAAACTCGCTCAACGCATACTAAAGAGAGAAAAAGCAAAGAAGGATGACAGTCACATTCAGTTGCAAACTATAACAACTATTTCCTAATCAATGGAATAGTTTGTAACTGATCTTGAGCCACAAATAACACTCCACTTGTATGTGCCTAAAGTTACCACGTGGGGTCCTTTCTGGACATCCTTTTCTTACATGTCAACACAGTGTTTTGTCTCACTGACCTCCAAATAGAAAATAATAGATCTAGAAAATTGAAACTGTCTCCAAAGGTTCCCACTGGTCATTGATTTCCTTTCAGACCAAATGGTACTGTTCTCTCCTGTTATATCAAGTGTTGAATGTCTCCTGGTCATGTCAAGAGCACTTGGGAGAAGTTAAAGATGGTTTCATGCTTTCCATAGTGTTCAGTTCAAGAATGGGATGGTCAATGATTCTAAGTTCTCTGTGTTCTGCAAAAACAATGATAAGTAGAAAATAAACAGAATATAAGACACATTTCCTTCTTTGGCCATAAGAACAAGGCCAGTACTGGGCGCCTGTCACACTGCATCTTAGGGATAAGAGATAGCCCCAAAGAAGCTGGGTGGGAATGACTACATCTCTATAGCCATAACACACTTCCTCTCCTGACCATTTACTCCTCCAGGTCTAAACCTTGTGGATCATGACCATTCTTTTACATTTGACTTTTCTTTCAGCCTGCCACTCAGCACCAACCTACTTTTTCCACTTTCCTTCTTACCACACCTCATTTATCCACTCTGAAAGAAGCTGTAGAAAGAACATGGACTTGCACACAGATCCTGAATTGAATTCTGATTCTGCTGCCTATTAGAAGCATAACCTTGAGAATGTAGCACCTTTCCAGGACTTCAGCCTTCTCACCAGGAGGCATAATAATATCTGCCTCCTACAGTTGCTTTGAAAATTACATTGATCAAATATCAGAGCTTCTCAGATCTTTTCCTTAGTTGCCTGTGTGGCCACAAGAGAGTCCACATAGTGAAAGGCCTCTGGAGGCAGTTGTAATTTCTTTGAATTTTAATTCTTTTTTATCCTAAAAGGAATCTACATGTATTTTGCATTCTAATTCTTTTTTATGTTTATTAAAATAGAAATGTTTTTCTGTCAAAGCATGAAGAAAATTTAAATGAAAGAAGGTGTGTCACGAGTACCCACAGCTTCACATTCAGCTTCCCATATCCAACATATGCCCTGGTTGACTGCTGCAGTTTGAGGAGTAGGGATGGGCCTGGGACTTAGCACTCTAAAATGTCACTCCCTTCCCCTGGCAGTGACACACACACACACACAAAATGCACACACTGGCTATTCTCATCTCAGATTCTTTGGATTACCTGTTACTGGCAAGACTGAGCTTTCCCTGCACCCAGTGATGGAATTGGTCTTGTGGAAACCATGAACACGCCACTCTTCCTCTTCTTTCTGGATTATTCTCTCATGTCTTCCCATTCATTTTACATGTTCTTCAAAGTCCAGCCCATGAGGCCCTTGGGTATCACTCCAACCCAAAGTCCTCTCTCCTTTTGTGAAAACTCTTGGCACTTTTTCTGTTCTTTGAATCTAGCACTTACTACTTCATAGAAGAAAGACCCTGTCTTCTATGTCCTGCCCTCACTGGACATAACAGATTACGTATGGTTTCAGGACCACACAAGTCTTGCATCTGTGTGTCTTGTCTGTGCTTCTTCCTCCACTGAATTCCTTCTCCCTGTTCCCACCCTTACTCTTTTGATGAATTTCCTATCTTAGCATGACTGCTCATCCGATGGCCTCAGATTCCTGTCACTCAGATGTGACATTGTGTTGTGTCAATGTGTGTAGTATGTGTGAGGACCACTCCAACTGTGACTCCCTGATGGTAGAACCTTATCTTGTTCATCCATGTGTCCCAGGTCACAGTGGGGTCTGACCCATGGTACATGCTTAATAGGTACCTGAAGTGCACTGTTATGCTCTGCCTCCCTTGGATCAGCCCTGTTGCTCTTAGATCTTCAGGGAAGGGCAGGACAGGATGTATCCATGACAGTGGGTATCAACAGAGGTGCTGAATGCCAGGTGAAAGAGGTGGATGCCATAGGCTCCAATAAACCCACTGAGTTTCATTTTATGGTATGGAGCTCCTGGATGTGGGATGGTTGCAGCCTAGACCAAAGCCAGAAGTTGGGCTATAATGGAAAGATAGAGAATGAGGAAGGTAAACAATCCCCATGAATCTACAGGGAGTAAAGTCCTCTTGAACCTTGTCTATGAGATATAGTACAGCAAGACCAAAGCCCTCCTTCTAGTGACAGTTACATCCACAGCACAAGACCATGGAAACACGTGTGGTTCAGTCTCACTGTCACAACTCATCAACCATGGTTCTCCCCACACTGCAGGGGCAGCCATGATGCTGAGGCGATCTCCTTATCGGAACCTCTTGCAAGGACAGGACTCCTGAGGAAAAAGGTTGCTAGTTTTGGATTGGGTGGGGTAGAGCTGAACCAGGGACCCCTCTTGCTTTGGAGACTATCACTATGACTTTGTTTTCCAAACCCTTCCTGGAACAGGTAAAATGACACATAAGAATATGTTCATGGGAACAGTAAGTTAGGACAGAGATAACTCCTCTCATGAAAGGGATCTGTCTCACAGACTTCTCCAATCCCCATATTTAAAAACAGAAATAGCAGACAATTTTCCTAGCAAAACACACTTTGAAAAGCACCTTTTGTCATTTCTATATAGCATTTATAAGAGACCTGTTCACATTACATCATAGATCCTAGCTGATACTAAAGTCAACATGCCATTTTTTTTAAAGGAGGAAAGATTAATTTGGCTCACTGTTTCTGAGGTTTCAGTCCATGGTCATGGCAATATTTGAAGTTTTTTTATTTCTTTTATTCATATGTACATACAATGTTTGGGTCATTTCTCCCCCCTTCCCTCCACCCCTCCTTTCCCTCCCCCTTCCTCTCCTCCCCACCCCCTTGCTACCAGGCAGAAACTATTTTGCCCTTATCTCTAATTTTGTTGAGGAGAGAGTGTAAACAATAATAGGAAGGACCAAGGGGTTTTGCTAGTTGAAATAAGGATAGCTATACAGGGAGTTTACTCGCATTGCTTTCCTGTACATATGTGTTACCTTCTAAATTAATTCTTCTCAAACTAACCTTTTCTCTAGCTCCTGGTCCCTTTCTCCTATTGAACAAGCCCTTTTTATTTATCTCAAAAATTCTCTTTTCTAACATCTTCTTAATTTTTTTCATTTGTCTTTTCTTCCATCATCAGGCCCAGGAGCTGGAATTCTTTTTGAGGCCATTTCCCAAGTCTTTTATCACTTTGTAAGAGTTTCTGCATATGTGCCAAGAGGAAAGACAGCAGAGCCATGTTGAGAAGTGAGTACTGGATGGTCAACTGAGACTCTGCTTGCTAAGGGTTATTCCAGCACTCATTTCACAGCAGTTCATAGTCAGGCCTCAGTAAAGACAGAAACTCCATTGTGTTAGTCAGCTTTCTGTCACTATAACAAATACACTAGAGAGTCAGCTGATAAAGAGAAAAATATTTGGCTTACACTTTGGGAAGTTTGGTCCATAATCAGTTAGCCCAGTTGTTTCTGGGTCTGTGGTGAGACAGAATAGCATGACTGGAGTACATAGTGGAGCAAAGCTGCTCACCTCATGGCAGAAAGAAAAAGAAAAGCTCAGGTCCTACAATTTCCTTGAAGGGCATGTCTCCAGTGACCTGAAGACTTCCCAGTGGGTCCCGCCTCTTAAAGTGTCCACCACCTCCCAATAGTACCACTCTGGAGACCAAGCCTTTAATACGTGAACCTTTGGAGGGACTTTCCAGGTCCAAACTATAGCACCTATAGGGCACAGTCTTTTGGGATCATGCCAAAATAATAGGAATCAGCACAGTTCCATCTAATAATGTTTAGAGCTGGCTGTGTTTAAAATTGAGAAATTAGGAAATTTTATTGACTGGGGCTGCTGAAAACTTCAAGAAAGAATCTCACTCATCACCCTAAAAGCAACTGACTTTGAAAATGCCTTGTCAACCACATACATCTGCAGCCAGTAATATCTTAGCTAGTCCTGATTTTTTTTCAATTTTTATTTTATTCATATGTGCATACAATGCTTGGGTCATTTCTCCTCCCTGCACCCACCCTCCTCCCTTACCACCAACTCCGTCCCCTCCCTCTCCCCCCCACCCTTTCAATACCCAGCAGAAACTATTTTGCCCTTATCTCTAATTTTGTTGAAGAGGGAGTATAAGCGATAATAGGAAGGAACAAGAGTTTTTGCTAGTTGAGGTAAGGATAGCTATACAGGGCATTGACTCACATTAATTTCCTGTGCATGTGTGTTACCTTCTAAATTAATTCTTCTCAAACTAACCTTTTAGCTAGTCCTGATATAATGTAGAATAAATGTGGCTTATAGTTTTAAGTAATGGAATCAATATATTGGGAGAATAAGAAATTATGGTATACAAGTATGATTATTAAATGTTCATCTACTACAAAGATAAACATATCAATATAAGATGTTTCTAATATTAAATCTGCAAATAACATTCTGAATGTATATTTAGAAGTATGGAAATACCAGAAGAAATAACCTGACAGATTTATGATGACTGCCCGTGGGAGTTATGCTCAATTCTTCCACCAGGAACACTTAGACAAGCAGGAAAAATTTTATTTTAGATTCTACTTAAAAAGCATTAGAGAGCTACAGGATAGTAAGTAAGGCTGATAGCTAAGATAAGGAAATCAAGAGTCATGAGTACATTTAAATTAAGGCCTTCTATTCAAAAAAAGACCATCAGTGATTGAAAAGGCAAACCATAGCATGGAAGAAGATATTTGTAACACATGTATCTGAAAAGGACTCATAAATGAAATATGAAAGCATATCTACAAATCAATAAGAAAAAGACAAAAGAAAACTGAACAAAAGACTTAAGAATCTCACAAAAACATATCCAATGCCCAAGAAGAAAAGAAAAGGACATTCTATCTCCTTTAATCATCAGAGAAATGCAGATTCAAACCACAGTGTAATACCACAGCATACCCACCAGAATGGCTAAAGTTAAGATGGCTGACGAACACCACAGTGACAAACACTTGGAACAATTTTAACTATTCCTGTGTTACTGGGGAATACGTAAATCCCCTAAAGTTGAATCCACACGTGCCTTATGATGCTTTAGTTTTACATACCAGGAGTCCGTGTACATGCCCCTGAGACATACACAAATGTTTTAGAAGCATTATTTGTAGTACCCAACACTGGAACCAACCCACCTATCCATTAGCAAAAAAATGGGTAAATTGTGGTAACTGAAAATTGTTCAGAAATTATGACAAATTGTAGCTACATGCAACAACATGGGTGAATCTCACAAAAAATGTTAAGTCGAGGTGAAGCATAGCAATTATATATACTACGTGGCTCCATTTTTAGAAATTTTCAAAAAGCAAAACTCATCTATGGTGATGATGATGATGGTGAACTGTGGGGAGTATGGAAGGGACTTCTGAGACACTGGTTACGTTCCATTTCTTGACATGGGAAATGGTG